CGGGGCGGGGGGGGGGGGGGGGGGGCCTGTGCAGAGCCCCGGCCAATCAGGGAGAGACTCAGAGGGAGCCAATCAGAGGACGGCTTGCGGGGGCAGCCCTGTATATAAGGAGTTGCTCAGCAGAGCAGAGCTGGGTGCTGGCCTGGGTAGGGCAGGATGTTTCCCTAGGAGAAGCTCCTTGCACAGAGATGGTCTGGGCAGGCTCAGGGGAGCTGAGAGGAGGCTCCAGCCTGATACCTGCAGGCTGGACCGGCCTGGGCACAAGGGTTGAGATGGGGGGGTGGGCCCAGAGAGGGGGAGCAGCAAAGGGCTAGGGAAGGGGGCAGGACAAGGCTGCTGCCAGTGTCTGGGTCCCCCAGCCACTCTGAATCGCGGACAGGGGGTGTAGCTTGCCCCTGAAACGAGGGGCTAGACCAGGGCTACTCAACATTGGAAGCCCTGGGGGCACAGTGATACTCACAGCACATGCCGAGGGCCGCAGCTTACGTGTGGTTGCATAGACATGCAACTCTATATGCAAGTACATGCAAATAGCTTCTTTCCCACTGATGGGCATGAATGCAAAGATTCAGGCAAGACTACACAACACGCAGGCTCCATTTAAGTCAGTTCTGCTGATATCTTGGGGGAGGGATAGCTCAGTGGTTTGAGCATTGGCCTGCTAAACCCAAGGCTGTGAGTTCAATCCTTGCATAGGCCATTTAGGGAGATGGGGCAAAAATTTGTCAGGGATGGTACTTGGTCCTGCTGTGAAGGCAGGGGACTGGACTCAATGACCTTTCAAGGTCTCTTCCAGTTCTAGGAGATAGGCAATCTCCACTAAATTTATAAAATGCAATAGTGACCCAATTTCCACCCATATGACAGCACTTTTAATGAGCAATGACAGTCCAGGAATTCAACGACGAAACCACATCTGAACAGAAATGACAACGCATGATATCGACCACTTGTTTGGGCCACGTGTTGAGCTCTGCGTAAAACCAAACTGCACTGCAGGCCGCAAACAAACGGGCCACAAATAAACAGGCCGTGGGCTGCATTTGGCTGGCAGGCCGCATATTAAGTAGCCCTGGGTTAGACGATGGGGGCTACCGCTGGCCATGCTGGCGGGGAAGGACTGAGCCCTGCGGAGACCCCTGTCAGGGGGTGACAACTGTCAGGGGGTGACAACAAGTTAGTTCGAATTAACTTTGATAGGCGCTACACATACAAACCGCTAGTTCAAACTTAATTCAAACTAGCGGAACGCTTAATTCGAACTAGGTAAACGTCATTCCATGAGGACTAATGCCTAGTTCGAATTAAGTAGTTCGAATTAAGGGCTGTGTAGCCACTTAATTCGAACTAGTGGGAAGCTAGCCCTCCCCAGCTTGCCCTGGTGGCCACTCTGGGTCAAGCCAGGGAAACTCTTCTGTCCCTCTCCTGGCCCCAGAGGGGATGGACCGAAGAGAATGACCAAGCCATTTGTCTCGTGCCATCCATCTCCAGCCTTCCACAAACAGAGAGCGGAGTGGGG